TTTTTTTATCCAGTCGGGTGAATTTGGGAAATTGAACAAGTCTGTTAAGTTTCCAGAGGTCTTGAATTTAGCTCCATACATGAGGGGCACAAGTGATAAGTCCCCAATTTACCAACTTTATGGAGCAGTGATTCACTTAGATGTCAAGAACGCGACTTTTACTGGTCATTACATGTCTTACGTGAAAAATAATAAAGGAAGCTGGTTCAAGGCTGATGACAGTTTGGTATGCCCTAGCTATTGCTTTGCCTTCATTATGCTGCAATCTTTTGTTTTATTGGATGTGTCTAATGACTTAGTACATAACTCAATGTACCAAAACAGAAAAATTGTAATATCATGTAGAGAGAGTTCCCATTCCCAAATTTATAGTTGGTAGTGTTACCAGAAACCCCTAGGATAAAACTCCGTAACTTAAAAAATAAATGTTCTTTTCGTTCTTCCTGACTTTTTTTACCCTTTCTCGCAAATCTAATCTCTTAATTTATTTTTATGATGATCTTTAGGTGCAAGCTGTGGAGGTTGAGAGGGTTTTATCCAACGATGCATACATGCTTTTCTATGCAAGGTAGGATGTCCGGAAATTCTTATGGGGTGATTGTTTATCAATTTAACTAAAAAAAAAAATCAAAACTCAAATTTAAGTCAACTTTAACCCAACCCCACTATCTCCAATATTATTAATATAATTAAATAATATCAACCAATCATTCTTACACATCATATCAACTTATTCACTATTCATCTACTCACATAATTTTAACTAACAATCATTTCCAATCATTTTTCTCCTACTTTTACATCAAATCAACTTTAATTATTTTATTTTAAATTTTATTTTAATATATCCATTAACAACTAACCATACTAATTTTTTTTTTTAAAAAAAATTAATTATAGTTAAAAAACCAATTAAAAACTAGTTGGATTCTTATCCAATCACCCCCTTAGTCTTTGTCATCACTTTTTTTTTTTTTTTTTTTTTTTTTTTTTTTTTTTTT